GAAAACTCTACTTTAGATGGTTGTATGTTAATTACAATATAATGTGAAATACAAGTTTAACATGTGAACTTGTGACTTATGAATTTATGTAACATGCTATGAAACTGTGTTTGCATAATTGTGTTTATGTGAAGAAAAGATAGAGAAATGATTGTGAAATAAACTTTAAAGTGAAAAAGTGATTTTGAAATAAGTGGCAATTTGCAAAGCATTTGTGAACTTGAATAGTTGATGATGAATCTTGATAAAGATGTATGTGTTGAGTTTGAAAGTAGTAAATGTAGGTGAAAATGAGAATTGATGCTCATTTGGATAGTGCACGATCGTGAGCCTAATGTGATGGTTATGATAACAAGTGAATGAAAATGTGAATAAAAATTGAGCATCATATATGGTATGGTCAATGGGTGGGAGTTCGCCTGGGGATTGAGAGTAGAAAAAATTTATATGATATTTAGGCTGCCCTCTGGTGCACGAGGGTATAGCTTTGTCTCACACTTTGTTGAGAGACTATAACCTAACTATCTTTACTAGTTTATCGAGGAGATTAGCTTAGGATATACAACATCCCAGAGATTTGAGAGTGGGGGAAACTATGGTTCGAAAGTGAGTCATATGATCTTTGGCCAGGTCACACCTCACAATTGGTAAGTTTGGGTAGTCTAGTCACACAGACGAAGCCCTATTCAATGTTATAGCCCATAATTTTAGTCGGAGGAAATAAAAAGAGTATAAGGCTGGTTGATAATTACCTATGTAAATTTATAACGTGTCACATGGTTGAATTGTGGCAAGTCATGTTGATATATCAAGTCATGGTCACATGTCTGAGTGTCTTGTGATAATGTACCTAGTATCTGTGAGATAGTAATGTGTTAACCGGAATGATAAGTTATGATATGTGTTTAAGGATGTTTTAAGAACTTTGCTTCATATGCATCCGTTTAATTACACTTAATATATAACTGCATGGGGTACGTTTTACCTTAGCTATTGAGTGGCTAGACTTACACCTTTTATTTAACATTTTACAAGTTTTAGCTCTAGTGCTGAGAGGGATAAAGCTCCTGAGGCTTAGGAATCTGTGTATTCCTTTTTGTATGCCTCTAGTATTCATTTATTATGTGTAATAGAATATTATTGCCAATTCTAGGATGCATTATTAGTTACACTTACACTATATGGTTTATTTCAATGTCTGGGTTGTATTTTAAGTCCTAAATAGTTATGTATGATAAGTTATATGTCTTGATAAAGCCAAAATACTAGTGCAAGTGTAAAAATATTGTTTTGAATGTGATATAATTGATTTATGAAGCAATGCAATGAAATTACCACCACCTTCTGTTTTTGGTATCAAAGGGCCGAGGAGTGATTTTGTATTATATTAGTATTTGAGTGCGTGTGATGTGTTGTACTAATAGTTCTAAATCTAATGGATATAGTCTGGGTGTTAGGAATGACTTTTAGCACTTGTTTTGGATTTTGGACACCCCTTTATTGTGAAAAGTAGTAAAAATGTGTTTGGATATCCAACTTCCTAGTGTAACTTGTTTTGGAAGTGAAACTCATGCCATTAGCTAGTTTACGAGAAGATTTAACAATATTAAATCTATAAAAATAAATTTAAGTGTAATAAAAAACAACATCACAAAATCAACACTAATAGCAATTAAACTTTGCTACTATCATCAGCGAAATCTTAATAATTTTCATTGTTATCAATATCAATATAATTTCATCATTCTCTTTGTAAAACCTCAACAGTGGCAAAAATATTAAACTTTTTACATATTCCTTCTTCATGAAACTTGAGTTTTAAAATTAATGTAGTATTTATTTTTTTTTGTTTTAAAATTTTAAAAAAATATAAAAGGACTTAACAGGGCCTACCCTTTCATTTTACAAGTTAAAAATCCTTTTAATCTCAAATTATTATTTTACATTTTAAAGTAACAATTCAATTTTAAATTTTTTTAAACTTAAAAGGGTTGAGCCCATCTAATTGATAGCTCTAATTTACACACAAGAAGTGTGCATGGCTAGTTGCTAGTTACATGTAGTTGGTGTATTTGATAATGGTCTGATGAGGCAGAAATTACATGTAAATACTCTATATGTGTGATAAATACGTATAACTGCTCCAATCTTGTAACAATTATATATGTCGGCTATCCTTATACGAAAATCCAGCTTGTCAACAAAGTCGGTGTAAACAGATATAAAGAAATATTATAAATTTGTTGAAGATTTTTATAAATTCCATCGACAGGAGACAATCATAGCAGCAGATTTATAAATATATATTTTATCTTAACAAAATGTCTTATTTATTTCAACTCATGAAATATTACATTTTGAGGGAGAAAAGAGTCAACATACAGTGTAAAACATATAATTAACCACATTATCATTAACATTGTATTTACTTTTAAGATACCATGTATAAATATAGTAAAATATAAAGTATATATTAAGTCACATTATCCCTGAATTATAACCATTAATTAAAACTCCCTCCTTAATATTATAAATTATAATACATGTAGGTCTTATTTAATTGATATTACAAAGATTTTAGTCTTATGTAGTACTCTTTTTTTAATTATGTACTAACAACAACAATAATAATTTGCTTTTCCAAAGCAGTACGGGACAAGGACGAATTGGCTTTTTCAATTATTACTCGTCTCCTCTTTTTCGTTCGATAATTAATAATATGTGTTATGATATTAAAAAGTATAAATTTATTATATAAAAATAAAAAATTAAGAGGTTTTTGCACATATAGCCCATATTATAAGATTAAGTAAAAGAAATATCCTATCTTTTTTTAAATTTTAAAAATAGCCTTTTTAATATTTAGTTTATAATTAATTTACAAAACTACCCTTTTAATATCTGTTTTTTGCAAATGCCAGAAGATTCAATATGCAAGAAATTTTTAGAACTGAACGCAATGAATGCGAGATAGATAATCTAAAATGATTTTTTTTAAAGATGAATGCAACAGAGAAAACGAAACTAAACGCAAAAGAGATGAATGCAAGATAGTAGAGCAATGTGAGTGAGTTACAATCATGATCGTGAGAGACAAATGTAAGGTGAGATACATCGACGGTACCCGATAGAACGAAGCACATCGATGGGGAATGGAGCTATAAATTCATGATTTTTTATTTTATTAGTTTAGATATTTGACTCTCTGTGATAAACTAAGAGTCTAAAATTTTTTATAAACTGTGTTTGATCCATTTTAGATAAATGATTATGTGTTTTTCATATTACTGATTCACGATACTACATCTTTGATATATTATTGTATATCACTGATATACTATTGCAAATCAACATAATTAAACAATCAGACATAAACTTATTTGTCATTGATATACAAACATATATTAATGATGTAGTATCGCAGATCAGCAACATAAAAAATATTTAATCATTTGCTCAAAATGAATCAAATACAATCCGTAAAAAATTTGATGTTACAAGAGATGTGAATATGGTGAAAATTTGATGAAAGATAATATATTCCAGGCTGGTCTTCTACTTCCAAAAATGAAATTTCCTTTTCATTATCTAATGTCATCTTCATAGTGTTCTTAGAAAAAACAAAGAAGGAGAGAAAAGAAAAGCTATGCGATAAACAAAGGCACCAGCATTTTTATATTAAAAAAGGAATGATTCAGAAAAAAAAAAAAGAAGAAAGATTCAGTTAGTTAAGAATTAGTCATAACAAATATATTGTATTTTAATAATAAATTTAATCTGAGAATAAAAAAGTAAAATATATCTAATTAATTTTATAAATGGGCAATATTTTAAAATATTCAAAAATTTCATCCATACTTTAGGAAAGCTGTGTTTTTTGAGGCCATTAAGCTAATTTCTTCAAAATTAATTATTTGATCTTAGTAATTTTGAGTATATACTAAGCTTATTTTTTAAATTTTAAAACAACTCAATAATTTTTTTTGTTGGCCAAAAAATCCTTATAATTTTTACTTGATTTTTAATTTATAAACTTTAACTTCATATAACTCAATTTTTATAATTATAATTATTTAAAATATTGGTCTCGATGTTAAAAATAACTTTAAAACTATATGGATTAAGTTGTATTAAGTTAAAATTTATAGATATAATTTTAGTTAACTTAAAATTACAGAACCAAATTTATATTTTTTCTTGAAAAATAAATAAAATACATTACTCTAATTTTACTGCCTACAAGAGAAATTAGTTCACCATTTGCGCTTAACTCTTGTTCTTAAATATAATATAATTCAAAATGATATGATATATTTATAAAATAAAAATAATATGATTTAAACTTCAGGATATTAGTGGAATAATATATTTGTAACAAAAATGGAATGATAGTTTACCCTATTTTTATTAGCAATTATAGTAATAAATTTATTAATATCAATAGCCAATCCTTAAGGTAATAGGATAAGATTTGACTATAATTAAAATTGGTTAATTAATTAGTATTTTTTGTTTATCTCTTAAGATAAATATCATAGTCAGCCAAAACTCATTAAATGTTTTATAACAATAACAAATCTTACCAAATGATTCTCAAAATCCTATCTTAAAAATATTTGTGTATATATATATATATATATTCTTTGTTAAATTTTTAAATTCTTGAATTAGTCTAAATTTTTGCGGGAAAAAAATAAGAAAACTAATTGTATACGTGCCATTTTAATAATTGATCGAGATGAGATAAATTAAATTAATTAAGAAAAATTTAATTTGTTGAATATTTAAGACAGAATAAAGATTCAAGTGTAACCGAATTTGATTTCATTGTGATCAAATCAAAATAGATTAAAAGAACTTGGGATAACGTTACTATATTTTCTCTTCTCCATCATGATCGCACCTGATTTAAACCCCCCCCCCCCCCCCTTGCTTTTGTGTGTGTATATATATGACTGCCTCTGGATATAAATTAGTCTATGTGAGCTTGTGACCTCCCAACCTGAGGAGATGGCTGGAGGAGGCATAGACACAAGGGTTAGCCATAGGGCTGCGTCGTATGAATATAAGGTCACTCGCTACTTAATTTTTAGCTGTATCGTCGGTGCTGTTGGTGGTGCTCTTTTCGGCTATGATCTTGGTGTTTCAGGTCTCCTGTTCCTTCTCTCTCTGGGCTCTGTTTTTAAATCCAGTCTGAAACGTTTCCTGGAATTGGAATTCATGATCATCATCTTTGATCATAATCTTTTCAAAGGAAAACAATTATTGTTTAAATAATGGATATTTATTTAATTCCCAATATTTTACTGTTGATTTTTGTTTCCATCCCTTCCAAACAGATTGGAAGGTCCTATTTGTTTGGATAAATTTGACATGTCATGCGTTTCATTTGACTTGTATATTCAGGAGGAGTGACATCAATGGATGATTTCTTGGTTAAATTTTTCCCACTTGTGTATGAGAGAAAGCATTCGCACCTAAAGGAAACAGATTATTGTAAATATGACAACCAGATTCTGACGCTCTTCACGTCTTCTCTGTATTTCGCCGCACTGGTGATTACCTTCGCAGCCTCCCACCTCACCAGAAAGAAGGGAAGAAAAGCCAGCATCATCGTCGGAGCTCTCAGCTTTCTCGTCGGCGCTATCATCAATGCATCCGCCCAGAACATCGCCATGCTCATCATTGGCAGGATTCTTCTCGGCGCCGGCATCGGATTTGGCAACCAAGTACCTCGCTCTCTCCAAAACCCGTACATATATTACATGTATAGACAGATACATGATTGAGAGATTATGTGATTGATGCTTGTCATTTGCAGGCTGTTCCTCTGTACCTGTCGGAGATGTCACCTGCGAAAATCCGAGGAGCAGTGAACCAACTATTTCAATTCACGACATGTGCCGGAATCTTGGTGGCGAACCTTATCAATTACTTCACAGACAAAGTTCATCCTCATGGGTGGAGAATCTCCCTGGGGCTTGCCGCATTGCCAGCTATTCTGATGCTGATCGGAGGCATTGTGTGTCCGGAGACGCCCAACAGTCTGGTGGAACAGGGCAAGTTAGAAGAAGCGAGACGAGTGTTGAAGAGAGTGAGAGGAACAGACAACGTGGAAGCGGAGTTCCAAGACCTGATCGATGCCAGCAAGGAAGCACAAGCCGTGAAGGACCCCTTCCGCAACCTTTTGAAGAGAAAGTACAGGCCTCAGTTTGTGATTGGAGCTCTGTGTATCCCTGCTTTTCAGCAGCTCACCGGAAACAACTCGATTCTCTTCTACGCTCCTGTCATCTTCCAGACTCTGGGTTTTGGCTCTAGTTCCTCTCTAATTTCATCACTCGTCTCCAGTTCAGCGCTCATCGTCGGCACTCTCGTCTCCATGGCTTTGGTCGACAGATTTGGAAGGAGAGGTTTCTTCATTGAAGCTGGCTCTGAAATGATTGTCTACATGGTAAACCCGAAACTTTAACTAGTCTCACTGTTCATATATTTGCAGTTATAAATACATGAATCAATGGTAGTAACAAAAGTGCAGGTGGCTGTGGCGGCGGTTTTGGCTAAATATTTTGGACATGGAGAAGAGCTGTCAATACCAATAGCTGCAATTCTGGTGGCTGCGATATTCTTGTTTGTATTTGCGTACGGAAGATCGTGGGGTCCGTTGGGTTGGCTGGTTCCGAGCGAGCTCTTTCCCTTAGAGATAAGGTCGTCGGCGCAGAGTGTGGTGGTGTGCGTGAACATGATCTTCACGGCGTTGGTGGCACAGTTATTTCTAGCATCACTGTGCCATCTGAAGTATGGGATCTTCTTGCTGTTTGCGTGCTTGATAGTGATTATGTGCACTGTGGTGTATTTCTTCTTGCCGGAGACGAAGAGGGTGCCGATTGAAGAGATATATCTATTATTTGAGAATCACTGGTTCTGGAAGAATTACGTGGGACAACGTCACCAGGATACATTAGCGGAGCCAGAGAAGCTGGGAGAGAGCAAGCCCGCTCATGCCTAGGTTTCCATTTCTCTGTTTTTGTTTTTTGTTTTTTTGTTTGGTTTTAGTAGGAAGTTACTAGACTTAGGTTAAAAACCGAGTAGTCTCCCGCCCCCGCCCCCCCTTTTTTCCCAATTTGTGTAGTTTCAATTTTTTTTCCAGCATTTTAAATGATTATATCATTTTTTTATTTCATGTGTTTCCTTTTGCTTCGAACGAATTTTTTGTTTGTGTTTCAAATTTTAGCAATTTTATTAAAAAAAATTATATAAAAATTCTGTATAAAAAAATTAATTACTATATAAATATTTTTTTAATATAAAGTCATGTCAAAATCAAAGACTAAGATCTTTTTATATCAGAAGTAAAAGGCTTCTACAGGAAACTACGATGTTCTCCCGTGGTTTCCCGCATTGTAAAAGTACTTTAGATATAATTAAATCTTAATTTTTTTACATGGTTTTGATGTAGCTTTATATTAAAAAAATTAATTATTATAAAATTTATTAATAATTAAATTAAAACCATTAACAATGTGATAATTAATTTTTTCATGAGACTTTAACATAATTCTCACTTTTGTTATTAAAAATAATGTTTTCATGCCAGCATGATTCAAAAGTTCATGTTTTAAACGCCGGATGTGAACAAACCAAAAAAAAAAATCAAATTGATAATTTAATAATTAAGTAAAAAGTAATATCAAATACATAGATAAATTAAATCCACAATAAGTTTAGCATTTAGTAAAATACACAACATGAATATAAATCAACAATATTATAAATTATAATTTTATAATGTATCAAATATAAGTGAATCTTATTTAAATTAAATATAAAAAACTCAAAAACATCTACATTTATATTTATAGGTATTAATACATTCTTAATATTATATACATATGGATGGCTTAAAGATGAAATTAATTTCTAATAGTAATCTAATTTTTAAAAATTTTTTCCCTTCGACACGTACTCATTCCACAAATTCCGATAGCACCTGAAATTTCTTTCAAAAAAAAAAGAAAGAAAGAAAAGAGGTGATACTGCAAACAATGTACAATAAACATCTCTATAGTATCATGTTAAAAGCTTCGCGAGTTCATCGACACCTAATGTTCCTTGTGGTACAACATTCAAACACTGTCCATCAAAATCTACTTTTCTTGGAATCTTAACACTCTTCTCCCTCCCTTCCATCGAGAAACCAATCACTTTTTTTGTATCTGAAGCCTTGGTTTCTTGCTCGTCAGTGTCAGTATCAATTTTCTGAACCACAGCTTTTCTATGATGAAGCCTGAATTCCGGTCCAGGAGGAGCTGAATTGGCAAACGCAACTGACCTTCGATAAACGACATCAGCATCCAGAGATTCATCATCTAAAATAAGTGCACTGCCTCCCTCAACAGCTTGCTCCAACAGTAATAAAATGTCTTTTGTACATGGCGCAGGATCTACCTTGGCCTTACTAGAATTATTACTAGTTCCTATCACGGTATCTGATGCCAAAATTGAAGCAGAAAGATTGTCACCGCATTCTCTACCATTCACTATGGCCTTAGTTTCATCATCATCAATGATAACTTCCTCATCACCTTCAGTGCAGCTGTCATAATCTGATGAGGTCGTCCCACCACAGTAGCCTGGGAACTCCGTTTTGACTTCAACTTCATCGGTTCTCTTAACAAGTGAAGTTGCATCAGTTAATGAAGACCCATAAATGTTCCTGTCTTCTGTGACTAAGTCTCCTGAACTCTCGAAAATGCTGGTGTCATGAACTTCATGTCTTGCACGTTCTTCTTGAGCATCTGGGGGCAATGTATCAGTGTTTTTAATGTCAGCACCACTTTTATTAGCTTCCTTGCTGTCACCATTGGGACGTGGTAAAGCAGAAACCCAATTTCGTCCTCTCCACATAAGTATGTGTTCATTCTCAAATGATAGCAGTACACATGGAACAAGATCCTGCAATCAAAGAATACACAAGAAAGATATAATATGGCATAATTAATATAACACACATGATTGGCCCAAAAAAAAAATGATACAGCCAATGTAATTTTCAAAGGCTAATGTGAAATTGCTTATACCCTGAGCTTTGCTCCAATTCTTCTGTAGTCACTTGGATTCAGTCCCTGACAATTAATACGAACTAGTTCACACTCTTCAAATGCTTCCCTGACATTTCTTACAAGGTCACAATAAACACCATTTTTTGCTGTAGCGAGTAAAGATGGCCAAAGTGTCAGTTTGCCAGAATAAACAAGCACCGTCTTTCCTTATTTACCTGTTAAGCAGTAATATAACAACAACAAGTCTTATCCCACTAGGTGGGACCTGTTAAGCAGTAATGAAAATACAAAAAAAAAAAAAAAAAAGTTACCTAGCTGCCGTATGGGAATAAGTTTTCTTCCCCTCTTTCGCATTTCAGTTGCTTCTTCAAGAGTTAGACCTTCTGGAACTCGTTGAACTAACCTCGGATATACTGGAGGGATAGGTTTCCACAGCATGAGAGGGAACTGAGGTCGTGTTTTGTAATTGTAATTTCTGCCCCGGAAGAGGTATACAACACCACCCTTTCTGTAAATAATTTCCCCTCCTGTCCTTTCCTGAAAAAAAAAAAAAACAAAGAGAACAAATAAATCAGGAGAAGATCAAAGAGAACAAATAACAAAGTCAAAGTTCAAAACTTAGACCACTGAGAAGCCAAAGAAGTTGCCAGTTAGAAAAAGGAGAATGAAAGAGCAATCGACCAAATTGTCTTTCATCTCCTTATAAACTGTTCCAAACAACATTAGGAAACACGATTGAGAATTTTTTCCTATGTGAAATGCTAACCATCTCTACTTAACATTCAATAAAAATCTCTTAACATTTCACAGGAAAGAGCTTTAAGGGATAAAAAAGTAAAAAGCTGAAAGTAAATATTTAGATTTACAGAAGAAACAAAGACAGAATAAGATACTCAGCAAACTTCTTATTGTATGGGAGTTAAATGTACAAAGCCCAAATGAATTAGTATTAACAAAGCCTGAAGGATGAGAGGAGACAAGCATAAAAACCAACCTCTAACTGCTGGCACACATTATTCATGTCAACGGTGCAAACACCTTTGCACTTTATCTTGCACACCCTCCGCCGCTTCCAGTGAGCATGTATGTTGTCCAACATGTTGTGTGTCAAACCATCTCTACCTAAGAGGGAAATATGAACGCATATAAAAATAAATAAATAAACAATTCATTCCCTATGCATCAAAGATAAGCGGATTGAAGTTCTCTCCTTTTCGTGTTACCTGTCCTATTAGCATACCAGACACATTAGATAACTACCTTAAATCAAAGCAAACACATCCTGCTAGCAAGGTTTTCAAAATTCAATACATCTGAAAGAAATAAATGTAACCACAAAACAACCACTTTATTGTATAAAATAAATGTAACTAAAAAAAATACCAATATTCAGCTGTCTGCTTGTTTTCCTGCACCCTTTAATCAAGTCATCGATCTCCTCTTGCGTCAATGGCTCACCCAGTATCTCTTCCCTCGACTGCACGTACCTAGGGCCCGTCCCGGGCAAAAAAGGACCGGGCTTCTGAACCGGCTTGACCCCCTTCTTATGCGGAGGCGGCAGCACGAACGAATCGAATTCCTTCAGCTTCTTCTTGCTTGGGGGCAATGGGGCTCGACCGGTCCACGGGCGCGGCATGGTGGTCGGACCGAAAGGAACAAACGGCGGTTCCCGCATCTTTATGGGCTTCATTTTTGGGGTCTCGGTGTAACTGTACTTGAATTCAAACGGGGCGCCGTCAATCACATAGGAGACTCCATCATCTGCCACTTTAACATTAGGAGGCGTGCTCACAACTGGAGTGTCTCTGGGATTAGGTATATTGGAAAACCGAAATGCTGGGTGGGATTCAACACTGGGTTTTGGGGGCTTGGAGTACTTGGATTTTTTCCCAGGGATTGATGGTCTGGAAGGAGCCGAGGGGGTACCAATTGATCGAAATGTTTCAACAGTGGAGGAAGTAGGAGAAGAATCGTCATCCATATTGGCAATCTTGTTAGCAGAGTTGAAGCGACGCTCGCGGCGGATGTCATCTTCGATTTGCTGCTGTCTCCGTCGGCGAATGTTAAATTTCTCGGCGTTGGCGTTGTTCCACCGAGAGAACCGAACTTCCGTGGACGGCCGATGCTGTTGGAGTAGGGAGGAATTGGGGTTTGGGTCTGGCGCCAGGAAAGGGAACCGGATTGCCAACTTCAGCGCCATAACTGATAAGATAATTTGCTTTACATTTCTAGTGCTCGCCCAGCGCCACAAGCACAAGTGCTATAGCCTACCCAGACAAAGAAGAAAGGCCATATTTTTCAGAAATGACAGCAGCGACGTCGTTGAACTTCCGTAGCTATGTGATATAGCTTTGGGCCTATGGCCCATTTTAATATCATCAAACCTAATTAAGAAATTCTCTTTGCAATCAGCATAATTATTTTGCAAAATGATAATTCAGTTTTAAAGAACGATTTACTTACTAGTACTCTCTCCATTTAAAAAATATCAAATATTTTTAATTAAATTTTATGTTTTAATAAAGTAATTATTTTTTTAAACTAACATCATTTTTACATATTTATTTTATTTAATAAAATATTTTATTTTAAAATAAAGATAAAATAATTTATTCATCAAAATCATTTTTGAAACGAAACAAAAATAATAATTATACTTTAAAATATTAAAAATTTCTCACATTTTTAACACCCAATCCTTAAATATTTTCTAATGGAGTAAATAAATTTTAAGGTAGATTATGATATGTCTTTTTATGTCATCATTTGGTCAATATATAATGATTAAAATGTTTTAATTTCTCTATTAGAAAATATAAGGTATGTTTAACTGAATCTCATCCCTAATAAAGTAGTTAATGTACTTCAAACTAACATTATCTTTTCATATATACCCTTATTTAATAAGGTGTTTCACTCTAAAATAAATATAAAGTAATTTATTTATTAGGAATAATTTTAAAAAAAAAGTAATGATTATATTTTAAAATACTAAAAATGTTTTAAATTTTTTAACACCCAACCTCTTAAAAAATACCTTATATTTTTTAAAAGGGAGAGTAATGTTTAATATTTCTTAGCATTAAAAAGTATGTGAGTTACAAGTTATTTATAAATTATTGTTGTCAATCTTAAATTATAAGAAGTTCTAAATAATTGATTCGGTTAACTTTGAATGTTTCCTATTTCGAGTTGATAAGTAAGTTGCAAATTACTTGTAAATCACATTCTAGTTTGAGAAACCAAGCTACAAATTACTTGAATTTTTCTAAACCAAAAAAAAAAATAGAACTTTCAAACAATTGATATAATTAACTTTTAAATCAATAATAAAAATCGAACTAAAGGTGTAAATAGGAGATAACGAACAATTGTTAAGAGTAATTTCATCAATTCACCCAAAATTTTTATGACATGAGGACGTTTAGAACTTTACTAATATTTTAGAATATTTTGAAACCTAATTATAATTAAACTTGTCATTTAGAACATAATAAGATTTTACACCCGTGCAATACACGAAAATATATCAGAAAGTAACATAGAGAAATTGAGATTATAATTAGTTTAATTTTTCAAATTGTTATTTTGTTTACATTAAAATTCTAAAAAATTCAATGGATTGTATACCCGTTTTTTACAATTACCGTAAATTAAAATTTTAATTTTATCATAGGTTTCACATGAGCTAATTTAATTATAGGTTTTATATTTTTGACTTATTTTTAGCAGGGATTTTTATTCTCCGTTGTTTAATGAAAATTTTATATGTTGTTTTATTATATAAACATTAAAAATAAAATTGACTATAGCACTCACCAAATGACAAAAAAATTGTTAGAATATTTTCTGAATGAATAAATATCTTTTTGAAAAATATGTCCTTAAAAATCATTACTTTGTAAAATTCATTGTTATCTTGACTTGAATTTTAAAAAGGCAATCCATATTCAAGAATTTTCATTATGTTTTGAAGGAAATTTGTCATCTTAATCTATACATAGATATTGGAATAGGGAGTGAATTAAGCTTTAAAAAAAAAGTGTTATTCATGCCTTGGTAATGTCGTGTACAGCGTTCCCCTCCATCTCTATTTTTTTATACTTCAAAGGACCTTTCCCGCGAAAAAAATATTGACAATAAGATGATGTCAAATATTTTTTAAACTGAAAAAAGGGACCAGACACACCAAAATGACTAAAAAAAGAAAAACAACACCATAATACAAGGGTTACGTGGCACAAGCAACTGTCCTTATCCTTGCGGGCCCACATAGATGTTCAGGAAAAGTTTTAGTCATCTGTGCTGCAACAAAGGGTAGAGATTATTATTTTTAAATTACTTTCACTTCTGGCTGATGGTGCATGGACTTTTTTTTAAGGCTAAATGGCATCAATTAATCAATTAATATAGCACAGTAATAGCTTTATTGAACCTCTAATTTCTCTGCACAAAAATATTGAACATAATAGGAGTATAAAAAGAAACTATGGAAGCATGTAGAGATACTTGTATAACTTAATATGAAATCCTTAGATTTTGTTTCTCAAATCAGGCCGACCTTAGCTTGACTATTCTTTTAATCTTTAGTTAAATCAACCGAAACTTTAAAATGGAGGTAAAAAAGTTAGAACATTTAGAATGCAAGAAAGAGCAGAGAGCCTGGATAAAAAAATAAAAAATTAAAAAACTCAGAGAGCTTTGGTGCTTTTGCTTGATAGTTTCGAATAAAAGGTGAAAAAGTATTTATAAACTTCCTTTATTTTTCAAAACTTTCTCACATGGTGAAAATTAATCCAATTCAACTATTTACAATGATTCTTCAAAATTTTTTATGGTAATATTTAACTAACTATTATAAGTATTTACAAGGAGAATTTTAAAATATACATAAATGAGATATCTTTAGAATAATCTAAACATTTCTTGTATTATCCACACTAGAGATATTCAGATCTTTTAAGTGCTTAACAATATGTTCTTGAAGACTCGATGCTTTCCTAATTGCTCTAGATTATTCTAGTCTTCTCTAGGACATTTAGAAGTTTCTAGAAATATCTTAACCTCATAAATGTACTTATATTGTCACATTATGCTCCACTAATGAAAGACTAATTGGTAAGGATGTGATATATAACTCACGAAGTTATCAGTTCAAATCCCCCTCCTTTTATGAGGATTTGTTTGGTGACTTATTTGTAAATGCTCTTTGAGTTTAAAGACGTACTCCATCCTATCATAACTCTACTTACTCAAAAACTTGTTATATTAATAGGAAAAGTTAATCATTTGATTATTATAATAATGACTTATTATAACTTAATTCTTAAATTTTAACTAGTTATAACTCGATTATCATAATTTTAATTTAGTTGTACTTTAATTTTTAAACTTTATCTCTTACAACTCAATTTTTTACAGTTTTAACAATTTAACATAGTAGTTCCTGTATTGTAAATAAAATAAAATTATAAATATCAAAATTTTATTAAAATTTAGAGCTAATATTTTAAGTTAGTATAAACTCTTTTGATCTCTAAAAAGATTAAAATTTTTAAATTGTTTCAATCCTTATAATTTTATTTTTAAAATATAGGAATTAAAATTTTAGATAGTCGGAGGAGCAAGTTGTAAGAATTAAAATTTAAGGTTGAGTTATAATTAAATTAAAATTATAAAAAATAAATTATAATAATTTAAAATTTAAGGATTAAATTATAAATTATAATTAAGTCAAAATTTTGGGACAAAATGATTAATTTAAAAAAAAAATCAAAAGACAGCTTTAGAATTTGCCCCAGAACTCCACGTGGCTCACCCCTTCTCCAGAGGCAAGCCCGGCATCTTTGGTCTATTTGATAGAAAGAATCAATGACGAACGCGAGCCATGTGCCTCTTCTCAGCCCTTATTTCTCCTGGGAAATTTCGAGGTCGTAAATCGTAATCCCCCAAGACAACCCCCCCCCCCCAACATGGAGAATATATATTACATATATAACAAAAAATACTTAAATAACAGGATAAAGTATACTAGTATTAGATTATCTTTGTTGATGAGTGTATAAATGACATCGTAATCCAAAATCCAAGGATAGTCAATAAAGTCTTTCATTTCTGCCAAAAAGACTCTGGTTCGAAAATTTTATTCAAAGCAAATGCTGAATCATGGTCTCCCGAATTCAGGAAAGCTAATCCACACCTCCACATTGAATTATTTTTGGTAACCTGTATCTATCTCTGAAGATACTGAGATAAATAGCTTGCTAAAGATAGATAACTAAGAGTGGGACACCCGTAGTGTGTACAAATACATTATTAAAATGCTGAATTAAAGCAATCAGGATAACGACCAGCAATTGCGCATCCTTATGGTCATGGAGATCACACCGTGCTTTATTTCCATTCAATCAGTTCACTTCCCAACCTTTATCATTCTTTGTTATTATTATGCCTTGGATTCCACTTAATCCATTTTCCCCCTTGTATTAGTGAAAAACCTCCGTGTTCAGCTATTTGCAGATTGTAGCCATCTTGATTTTTGGGCTGCGAACATATTCGACTTTAAGGTTTAAGTCACTCGATTCGTATTCAGTTTTTGCGTTAAATTTGACTGATTTTTCTCTTCTTTTTATACGTGACTATGGTTCATAAAGTTCTGAAAGCTTCGCTGATTAATTTTTTGAGAACTGATACCTTACTCTTCATAAATAACTTGGTGACTATTGGGCATCTATAGAGATGCAAATAAAACTAGAAAAATTTCAATCTTAACAGGATATCTTCCAGAGTTATTTCAACACGAACTGGACTAACGCAAATGTTTTAAATCCTTTATCTTGTGAGTTTAATTCCCTGCTTGCTCTTTGGATCTGTAATGGAAGACGTTGCTTCATTCTACAGGCTGTGAAGGAGATTAAGATTTTGCTAGTTCTTCGCTTTCCTGTATTTTCCCAAAAAGGAATCCAATCTGAGAGGAGTTAGCGTTTTAGACCAATGGCAATTCTCTGATTAGATTTTTCTAACTGATGGATGACACACTCACCAATCTTTTCACATTGACAAGTTTCGTCAATGATCATTTCATACAATTCATTGGTGAGTTCTTGCTAGTCTCTAAAAATGTAAAATGATATGACTTTCGAAGTATTATTGGCTGTTTGAAGTAGTTGTTTTCATGTAATGCGTAATCAAGCTGAATTTTGCTTCCTGCCAATATTGCAGGGCATCTTGTACTTAGAGATGTAGACAGATGGAAAGAACATTTTGTGATCAATCCAGCGGTCATTTCTTCAGTATAATGTATAAAAAGTTACACCAGCAGCACATCTTCACAGCCAGAAACTGTTGGCCAAAACCACGATATATGTGAAAGAGGAACTGTTCGTAGTACCAATGATACGTGATCTTTAATTTTAAATACCAGTTATATCACTGCCATTGTTCCTTTGTTTTTAAAAGGGTAATGATCTTTTTCCTTTGTGCTTAAATTTCCAGAAAAGTCAAGCACGTAAATCAAAGCTTTCAGTCTAGATTCTTATATGTTAGATGAAGTGGAATGGCCAATATCTTGAGCTTTTGCCAATTGCTACTGGACTTTCTTCTTATGGATGCAGGTTGACACTTCCAATAGTTGGTCTGAAACATGCTTGTTGTTTAGCAATTTCTCCGTGGAGATATTTTTTCTCAAGCATCAGAAAGGCTCAGGTTCGAGGTCATAGGCAAAAGAAGTAAGTCTTTTCAAAGCAAAATGGTTGGGACGTTGAAATAATAGATCTTGCTTCTTTTTCACCATAGAAGTTAGTGATACATTCTGTCAGACTTATATCATGTGCATGGATACCGTGGTTCTTCGGATGACATTGGATGGCTACAACAAGATCCCAGGATGCCTCCAGTAGGGGATGGTACTGCAAGATTCTTGGAATTGCTTTCAGGCATAAGGTACAATATCTTGTCATAAAGTTCCAATATGAAGTTGGCCTCAATGGTGGCTTATTTCCTGGTCAATGCTTTCAAATGTTACAGTGTAATTTGTTGCAGAGAACCCGATGGAAGTTCTGCCACATTTGTTAATCACTTAATCTCATAATTATTGACCTGACATGATACATATTCATAGGAATGGAAAGTGCTCACTACCGAACACTTTTGTTTATCTCTTGATTCCAGGTATAGTAGGATCCATGTATCATTTTCTTTCCTCGTTTATTGTGCCATATGGTTCAGACTAAGAGATTCACTTATTTCAGGCTTCTTCAGCAATCACGGCCCCTTGTACTCTGTAGCCACTAGGAGATTCCTTTCAAAGAAGGGCCTTACCTGCCACATCGCTAAAGTTCATAGTGAGGTAATTAATCATCACACATCAACAATGGAAATCAATTTTCCTTTCATGCTTAAGTACATGCTCTACTGTCAGCTTTTTGCATACTTGGTATGACAAATTCGGGGGGAAAAAAACAAGAAGAAGAAGAAAAAATGAAATGCATTGATGCTTCATTTTCCTGTTTGTCCCCCCCCCCCAAGGGGGTTAAAGGCTTCAGTCGGACACAATGCTTGGGAAGTGAAGCTCTACATTGAGGAGCTCTTCTGGGGTTCTGGAAAGCGTTTGTTGCTTCTAGGACACAGTAAAGGTGGAGTACATGCTGCAGCTGCATTGTCTCTGTATTGGTCAGACCTGAAAGACAAAGTTGCTGGTTTGGCTTTGGTGCAGAGTCCACATGGTGGCACTCCTGTTGCTTCTGATATGCTTCGCGAGGACCAAATTGGCGACAAAGAAACTCGCAGGATCATAGAACTTCTCATATGCAAAGTATTAAGGGTTAGGGGATCATTTCCTGCCCTGAAGCTTCCGTTCCTATCATTGCTTATTTCATCTCTTTATTTTGTCAAGAGTACAAGTGTATCTGTAAAGACATTATAATAAAACTATTAATAGTTTATAACTTTTACATAAGATCATCAGAACCTGTGCATTGAAAATTGAAGTTGGTTCTTAGCAATCTGTGTCTGGGAATCCTCTTTGACTGATGCAGCTGATTTTGGTCCCTTCCCTTTCTTTAGGTTTCATTTATTTGCAGTACAAAACTTCATGTCATCCATCCAAGTTTTTCTTCTGAAATGATTTTCGGTGTCAGTTCTTGTGCTTATTTGTGTGTCAATGATTATGCATTTAAGGGTGACATAAGGGCTTTAGAGGATCACACATGAGAGGCGAAAGAAATTCATCATGAAACACATGCTGACATTTGAAATTCCTATGATATCCTTCCATTCAGAAGCAAGCATTGCTTCTGGTGTTCTGGCAACAATGACTCACATTGCTCATGCTAAAATCCCCTGGCTCCCTCTGAAAGGCAATGAGTCTAGAGAGTCTAATAGACTATAAAAAAACAGCCAATTAGCGATAGAATTTTTCATTGTTAATCGGTGAAAATTTATTGTTAAATAGATTAACAACGAAATATTTTCGTCAATAAAAACATCATCACTAGTTCGATAGCAACAAAATTTGCAATTCCATTGCTAATTAGTGACAGAATTAGTGTCATACTTTGCAATTCTGTCGCTAATTAGTGATGAAATTAGCAACGTTACTAATTAGCTACAGAACGATGGCAAAATTTTTTCATCATTAAATAAGAATAAGCTATTTTATATTTCCATTCCTAATTTATTAGGTAAACCAAAATATTATTGCCACGTCACCCGATAAACCAATGTCATCTCAGCGCCACCTAGTGGAACAGTACCACCTCACCATCATATCACTTGTCGCTGATATGTCAATTATTATTACCTTCAATTGTATCTTAGCTTGATTCGAACTTGCAAGCTCACACTCCCTAGTGCTTTTGCGTCCACCTTATTGCCAATTAGCTGAAAATTTTTTTTTAATTTTAATTGATAAATTAAATATATACTCCCTCTGTAAAAAATGTAAGGCATTTTTAACCGAATTTCATCCCTCAATAAAGTAGTTATCTGTTTTTAAACTAACCCTATCTTTTTATATTTATTCTTTTAAACACCCTACAATAAACATAAAGTCATTTATCAATAGGGACTTTTAAAAAAAAGACAATGATTATATCTCAAAAAATTAAAAATGCCTTACATTTTTTAACACTCAACTTCGCAAAAAATACTTTACATTTTTGAATGGAGAGAGTAATACTTAATCACACACACATATTAATAAATATATTATTTAAATTATTATTAAATATAGCATTTAAATTTACTTATTTTTTAACATTATATTTATTTATTAATATGGAAAAATTGGTTTATATATAATAATTATTTCTATTATATTTTATTTAAAAAAATTATTTTTGATAATAAATTTAATATTAAATTGAAAAATATTTTATTTTCAGTATATATTATATTATAATTTGTATCTATATAATATATAATATTTCAATTCTTATTTTTAATTATTTTATTTAATTTTTATTTTTATATAAGAATAATTAAGTATACAATTTAAATTATTATTAATAATATACAAATAACTTAAAATAATAAATTATTTTAAATTATAATTTTTAAATTATTTATTTATAACATAATAATAAGTTATTAAATAAATTATATATAAATATATATTATAAATAATAAAATTAAACTGAAAGTAATATGACGGAATTAGCGATGAAATTATGACAAAAAATTTTATTATAAATTTTTCCATCACAAATTCCATCACTAATCGAAATAAGATATTATGATCATTAGCGATGAAATTTTTCGTCAGTACATTCTATCAATAAAGTATTAGTAATGGAACAATGATAAAATTTTAACAATTGAATTTCGTCGTTAAATTTTATTGCTAAATTCACAACAGAGTTAGCAACCAGCCGTTAAATTCCATCACTAATTCGTTATTTTTTTGTAATGATATTTGCGTCCAATCTAGACAACTAAGTTCCTGTAGTAATGCCCCTATCTGCTGCCATAGCTATTTGTGCCTCCGCCTACAGCTCAGGTATGGCGAAAACAGTGATGGCCTGGTCACATGTCGGGATGCTGAAGTTCCAGGATGGTTGCTGTGAGACCAGACAGGAAGCTTGATCATGCCTGGACGGTGTACTTCAATCAAGAGAAATCCTAGGGAACCTGATGCAGGTGAAATGTGTGAGGCTTTATTGACTCTGTTTGTAGTGCTTGGTACGGCTAAAGAAAGTACCTGAGCAAGTTAGACAGTGATATACATGTTTTTGCGTTTCTTATTACAGAAGACATGCATATTATACGTAAAGTACACTTGTCAAACATAAGCTATGACTCGGGGTCATCTGGTTTATCAAAAAGTTGATACTGTTTCAGAGCACCAAACAGCAGCCTGTCTTCCATCATAGTGACAGCACCTAAATAACCGCTGTATTGGTCAAGAACGTTGAACCTTTTTAAACCAGAAAACTTCCTGTGAGAAGCAGAAGCACTGAACATAAAGCAAAAACACATAATCAGATGTACTTGTTGTTTAAAAAATGACCGACTCTCTCTCTCTCTCTCTCCCCAGAATTCTCCTCCTTTCTCTTTCTCTCTCCAGAATTTTCCTCATTTCTCTCTCTCTCTCTAGATTTCTCTATTATTTTCTAGACAAAACCGGATGGCATTTCCACCGCCTTACCTAATCTATAAATTGGTGTGTGTGCTTGCGCCATTTGTGTGAGCAGCAAAGAGAGAAAGAAACCGAAGCAAGAACGAAGAAGTGAGTCTGTGAGTGTTGTGAAGTGTGAAGTAGAGAGAAGAAACCAAAGTAGTAACAAGTGAGTGACGTGAGCGTGTTGAAAGAGTCGAGTAAAAGAGTGTAAACTATTGCTCGAGTATGCAATAAAATCATTCCTTATCCAAGCCTACACTAATAATTTGGAGGTTTCCTCACCCCAAATTTCAACACTTGTGTTTGCTCATACATTTTAAGCATGCAGACCCTGCTAAGGCTATGAGATATTGCAGCGTTTGCTAAGAGGATGAGCACTATATTTGGGCAAGTCCAATCATTTTAAGGCTAAAGAAAAAAATATTTTAAAGTTAAACTATATATATTTAATATACTTGTGTGAAATTCAATTAAATCAAATAGGCAAATCATGTCAATGTGATAAGGAAATAAATTACGAAACATTCTTACATTTTTAAGTATTGCCATGCTCTATAAACAGTATTTCGTCAATATTTAATTTTGTAAAATAATTAATATCTCAATATATTTAAAAATTTATCTGTCAACATTAAAATGTTTCAAGCACATAAATATACAGAAAATTTAAAAATATTTTGTGTTTATAGAAGATTTGAGTGAGCTTCTCACTTATTCCTTCACAGAAAGGATAAATAGATTTAAATAATTTTTTTTGTATATTTATGTGTTTGAAATATTTCAATGACAAATAAATGTTTAAATAGATTGAGATATTAATTATTTTATAAAATTAAATATTGGAGAAATATTGTTTATAGAGTATGGCAATACTTGAAAGAGTAAGAATGTTTCGTAATTGATTTCGTTATCACATTGACAAGATTTGCTTCTTCTGCTTTTTTTTCCCTCTCTCTCTATGAAAGAGAAAGGGAAGGG